TTCAGGGAGGCCCTGCCAGGCCACCTGTGGCTGAGGCAGCAGTTGAAAGTGACCAAGGGCCAGGGGTGGGGAATGGGAAGGCCCATGGCTCTGTCTGCTATTTCGGGCAAGTGGTGGGGGCGTCCAGGGCTGACTGCACTGAGGTGGGGACAGAGAACTGTGGCGGCAGAGCGCTGCGCCCCCTGCTGGTGCCATCTGTTAGTGCAGGCAGGGCTGGGCCCACAGCAGGGTGACCCAGGCTTGAACTTCAGGACACAGAGTCCCAAGGGTCAGCACGGGGACTCTGTCCTTCCTCTTCTGCCCAGCTCCAGGTTAGGAACACCACGTTTACTGCACACAACGGGCTGGACACTGTACTCCCAGGGCACTCTGGATGTTAGGAAATTCAAAGCCAGGCACAGGGGCCAGGTGGTGACCCGCAGACCCCAGGGCCAGCTGGAGCCAAGCCCCTAAGGTGGCGCTAGGACAGGCCCACGTCCCCTTGGAGAGAACTGTGAATCAACAGTCACTCAGGGCAGGAGCCAAGCCAGGGATAGCTCTCTTCCTTGTCTTCAGGGGACAGTTTCCAGAGCAGCCAAGGACCATTCTCTGGCCTCTCATTCCTTCACGTTCCTATAAACATGGTCCCCAAAGCCTGCACACCCTGCCGAGCTGTACTGGCCATGGAGGGGCCTGATCTCTGGTTCCTGGGTCCTTGGGGAAGGGGGCCAGGCCTGACCCTGGACCTGGAGCCAGCATCCCAGGTGGGAGAGCTGGGCGTCTCTGCAAGGCCCATCAGGTGGGCTTTGTGCTAGGACTGGGGGAGCAAGGGGTGGAGTGTGACCCATCACAGCCTGTACCCCTCCAGTGTGGGATGGCTTGGGCTGCCCCGCCCACCCCTGGGCTCTCCCAGGGCACTCACGTTGCAGTAGATGCGCTTCTGCACGCCGTAGCGCAGCACCAGCACGTCGAAGGCTTGGTTCAGGACACCCATCACCATGGCTTCTGACTCCAGGGGGCCACTCTCCTGCAGGGACAGTGCTGCAGCCATGGCACCTCCTGGCACTGCCCTAGGCTCCTCGAGGCCTCCTGGTGAGTAGGTGCCCAGGAGGGTCGGGAGCCAGAGGGAGGTGAGGGGCACCAGGCTGGAGGGCTCACCTTGACCAGAACGGCAAAGAAGAGACCGGTGCTGAGCTCCTGCACGCGCTTGGACGCCATGCGGCGGTCGTTGCAGTGGTCCGCCTGCTTCTGCAGGGTATCGGGCGCCATGTCTAGTTGCTCCCTATAGCCTGGGAAGAGGGGGCAGGGTGGTGGGCGGTGCTGTATGGGGCATGAGGTTGGGGGGTGGGGAGTGGGGAAGGGCAATGGCTGGGGGATGGGCTGCATGGTGCTCCGCCCCAGGTGACAGATTAGGACCCCAGCACCCAGCTCCCAGGGCAGCAAAAAGCGGCCCTCTGAGGTCAGTGTCCTCCTCTCAGCTGTGTCCAGGGCTGGCTGTGGGCCCCCTGCAGCTTCCACAGCACTGGTCCATAAGGAGAGTTCTCAGGCCAGGTTCCCCTTCACTTGGGTCGCCCGACCTTCGGACCTCTACTGTCACTCCTGAATGGTCTTGGGCCATTCAGCACCCACTGTGGGTGAAGTGTGTGTACACAGGCATGATGAGCGCACAGTGCCAGAACTATGCCGGGTCCCGCAGCAGCCCCGAGCAGAAGTACAGTGCCATCTGCGGGGCGAGTCAGAGCCTGGCCAGCCCAGAGCTTCCTGGCCAGTCCCGGAGGGCCCGTGCCACCCACAGCCTCGCCGTTGGCAGCCTTGGTGTGCACAGACCTGATGGACTGTTGCCTGCTGAGCAAAGCCAAGGAGGACCAGTGCCAGGACCAGTGCCCCTTTCTGCATAAGGGGACCCAAGGGGCGGCCAGGAGGCTGGGCAGAGCCCAGGGGTGCCCATACCTCTCTCCAGGAGACAAATCTGGCCTGCCTGGGCCTCCCAAATGCCCTCGAGGGGCAGCACTGAGAATGGCCCAGACATGTCCCGTCGCTGCTGAGTCACTGCTGGGCACCTCCAGGAGGGAATGGTCTCTGGTCTACTCCTCCCCAGCATGGGGCTGGGGCTGCTACTCTGGCCCAGGAAGGAGGAGGGAGAAGCCTGTGGCCATGTAAGACCGGGGGCTGCAGACACTCTCTGCTGGAGACACAAGCAGAAGCCGAGGTGGCTGTGGGTCTTTGTTCAAGGAGGCCAAGTCCATTGCTCCATCTGGCTAGAGTGGGAGGCAGGCGAGAAAGCCCAGGATGCCATTCCCTGCCCCGTGCAACACAGGCCTCAGGCTCCTGGTGCTTTCTCTCAGACTTAGGCCCACCTTTGGTCAGGGCCGACCTCATCCCCTCTGGCACTGAACCTGCCCAGCTGAAGCCATGCTTCACCCCAGCACCTCTGTGCCCCCCCGTACTCCACCCCACAGCCGCCACGGGAGGCAGTTTCCGGCCTGCCAGCCTCGGCCCTTCTCATCTCCAACCATCTGACCCTCCCGCGGGCTGAGACACACAGGGCGGAGTTCCAGAGGCCCTTGTGCTGGGCAGGAGGCAGGGCTGGGACAGGGAGATACCCAGAGTCTCTAGGGACCAGCACACAGCCCGGCCCAGCTGGGGCCACAGTCACTGAAGCTGCTTGCCCTGCAGTCCCCCAGTTTTCAGGGCTGGGTGTCAAGGCCAGTGCTACTGCCTGGGAGCGAGTGAACGGGTTCCTTGCAGAGGTCCAAAGTCACTCCGGTGTGTCTCGCTGGTTCCCTTGCTCCCTGGCTGCTGTACACACTCACCCTCCTGTGCCCTTGGCCAGACAGCCAGCCGGCTCCCGTTACTCTGTGCACACGGGCCCTGGAATCCAGGGCGCAGCTGGTGGTGACCTGCTCGGCTCCCTAACTCCACTTCCCTTCCAGCACCTGCTGGGCCCTGGGTTAAGTCGGGGGCAAGTCTCCGGGGCAGGTGGGCACAGCCTCCACTCCCAGACACATCTGGGCTTTGTTCTCAGCGGTGGCCCAGTTCCCCAGATGACCTGGGTGAAGTTGAAGAAGGGCCCTGGCCCCTCCTGGCTGGTGGAGGTGGCTCAGGGTGGGGTGGGACGGGGGGGTGGGTTCCATGGCTTTCCCACAGGCCCAGCTGTCCCTGGGACAGCCCTGGAGTCCTGATGCAGAAGCTCACTGAGGACTGCGTGCCCCCTCACAGCTTTCTGTGCTCTCTGCTGCTGCCCTGCCCTGTCCCCACCGCAGTTCCCGGGGCCGAGGAACAGGAGCACTGCAGACCTTCTGGTGACTCGCTGCCATCAGATTCCCAGGCAAGGGCGCCTCCGAGCTCCCTGGCAGGCGAGCCAGGAGAATGCAGCCTTTTCAGGCTCTGGCTGACTCCGGAGCGGCTCTGATCCCTGGAACTCCAGCTTGGCTTGTACCTCCTTGAAGGTGATGGCATTAGAGGCAGGGGCATGGGAGGGGCCCTAGCAGGGCAGAGCCAGAGGCAGTTCTGGGACTCAGGGGTTGCTGTGCCATCTTTGCCAGGCCTAGAGCCACTGGCGTGTAGAACACAGACAGCCCCGCAGGCACAGCCCAGCCCCTCTCAGTTGTGGGTGCCGCAGGTGCTTGGCTGGGCAGACACTTGTGACTGGGGGCAAGTCAGGGCGGCCAAGCCCAAGCAGGCCCTGATGGCTTCAAACCCAGCAGAGCTTGAAGCATCAGAAAATAAATCCACTGGGGTCAGCTGAAGCCATCCAGTTCTTGAGAACAGACTGAATCTGCTGTGTGACCAAGCCCCTGAAATACAGCCTGTCCCTGCCCCTGGGCTTGGCTGGGGCCCAGAGCTGACTCATCAGCACCCACTGCTCCCGCTGGCCTGAGGGTCCTTTAGGGTCCTGGTCCCAGGATGCTCAGGCCCTGCACGGGTGAAGCTCAGCCTTGGGGGCTGTGACAGGCGTCCCAGAGCAAGCCCAGCTGTCCACCCCACAGGCTGCCACCTCCCTGCAGGCCCAGGCCTAGGCCCACGGCCAAGTCTGCTTCTTTCCCACACTGGCCAGAGGCTGACAGCTGGTTCTGGACTCCACATGCGGGGGTGGAGGCTGTGGAGTGTTCCCCGGGACAGGAAGCCACACGGGACCCTGTCTCTCCTCCAGGACCCCAGCCTGACAGGAGGTCTCGGTAGCCCCTCAGCTCTAAGGCAGGTTGTCCTTGAGCAAGTCTGAGCAGGAGACAGTGGTTCAAACTCAAGAGGCTCAGGGTGCCCCCTCCTAGGTGCTGCCTGGGGTCGGCCTCCTCTCCCACCCTCCGGCAGCGGAGGAGCAGCCCCGTCCACCCAGCCATGTCCAGAGTAGGGCAGGAATGGTGGTGGGCTGTGCTTGCACGTGGAGGTCACAGGTCTGGGGCCAGTGTGCTCCCGGGAGCCGGCGAGGACGGGGCTGGACCCTCCTTACCTGCATGGGCCAGGGCTGGGCCCTCCTTACCTGCATGGGCCGGGGCTGGGCCCTCCTTACCTGCATGGGCCGGGAGCACATATTGGTGAGCACCTCCTTCCAGGCCAGTGAGTACTTGTCATCTCCAAATGTTTGGGTCAGGCTTTTCTAGAATCAAATCCCAGAAACCCGTGTGGTCCAGCTCGGGGAGAGACCTGGGGCCCTGTCATCCGCTAAGTACCTCATGCCCTGCTCTTGCGGGAAGGAGCTGCCTGGGGGCTCAGCCCTGCTCAGAGGGGATGGGTGGGGAGAGGGGGCAGCTGCCCACAGCCTGTGGCCCACACTGGCCTGAGGTTAGTCCCTTCCATGTCTTGCTGACTGGCCTGGACTCACTGGGCTCCAGCTCTCGGGCCTAGGGCACCTGCCTTCCCCTCCCAGGGTCGGGCCTGGGTGAGATGTCTCCCTCCTCCAGGACCAGAGCCAAGGCCCTGGGTTTCTTAGCTTCGCCCCGGGCATGAAGCACCTGAAAGTACCCACCAGGAACATTCCCGGGATTCCTACAATTCCAGCCCCCACACTCTGAAAGCCTCTGGGCCCAAGACCAGCCCTTTCTGGCCACAGGACCCCTGCCCTCTGCTAGGCCTCCAGGGTCCCCGCTTGGCACAGTCCTGGTGAGGGGGCAAGTCCCATTGTCAGGGCCCGTGTGACTCAGAGGGGCCCTTCCTCCCAGGGCCTCCTTCCTCCTGTATAGGAGAGACCTGGCTGAAGGGAAGGGACTCTGGGGGGAAGCAGAGGCCCTTGGCCCCCCACCTTCCAGGTCTTTCTCTTCTTTCCCCCAAGCAGAGCCTCCCCTGAACCCTGCCCACCACTCACATTGAGGGCTCCTGCGGAGCTGAAGTCCACGGGCAGCCCCGTCTGGTCGCAGAATTCCACCAGGTCATTGAGCATCCTTGTCTGGGGTGGGGGGTGCCGGCGCAGCAGGGCCTGCTCGGGGAAGGCGCGGTGGATCTTGTGGGCCACTGCCATGTTGGCCAAGAGCATGAACTCCTCCACGAGCCTGCAGAGGGTGGGTGGGATGGGAGGGACCGCTGGGGTTGGGGGACAGCTGCTCAGGCTTTTCCACGCTGCAGCCTGCCTGGCTCTCTATCACCCTTCAGGTCTCAGCTTGAAGACGACCTCCCAGCTGCCTCATCTCATGTGTTCCACCAAGTCCCTGTCTTGCCCAGCACTCCCATGGTCTCCCCTGCACCAGTGGGTCTACATCGCCTTCTCCTCTGACTGATTAGCTCCGTGCTGGCTCCTCCACTAGACCCTGGAGAGCAGGGACAGCCCCTGTCTAATTCACTGTTGCAGCCCCAGAGCTCAGCAGCCCACCCAATCCAGAGAAGGCACTGAGGAAAGATCTCTGCTGAATGATAGGACACCTGGAACCCTTGGGCAGCCCTGGCTGTAAGAGGGCACTGTGCCCACCCAGGCCATGGGAACCCAGGGGGCCCTGGCCCAGGCCCTAGTTCGAGGACTCCCTGGGGCATGCCGCAGTGGTGAGTGGACTGAGGATCCCACAGGACCAGGAGTGTTGGGCTCCCTTCTCCCTGAGGATGCTTCCTTGTTGGAGGGAAGCCTCCCGACAGGGTCTCTGAGGGTGGACAGCAGAGTCCGAGGCAGCAGGAGGGAAGCCCTCACCAGGGGATGAGGCAGGAGTCAGGACGGGGTGAGACCCCAGAGTCACCCTTTCAGGGGCTGCTGCTCTGGCTTCACTGTACATGAGTGTCGTTAGACTCAACAGTCACTATGAATGGACGTGGCTCCTGATGGAAGGACTGAGCAGGCCAAGTCCCTCGAGATCCAGGTGCTGCTTTCCAGTTGCCCCTCCTCTCCCAACATAGTCAGCCAGGGGTCTCCTACACATGCCCTATAAGTCTCACTCCTGCCATCAATCCCGTCCCCTTACCCTGCTCCAAGTCTTCCCTGAATGTCAGACAGAATTCCCTTCCATGGGCATTTATAGCTAGGGTCACCTGTGTCACTGTGTAGTGCCATTGGAATCTTATTTAGATTTTGTACTTACATCTTGTCAACCCAAGAGGAGTCCCAGTTCCTGCTGGAAAAATGGCTTATGTGATCTATCTTGGTTGGGTCATCATCAGCAAAAAGCCTCAAATGCATAGTTCATACATTCATTCATTCACTCATTCCACAAGGATTACCATGTGCCAGGCACAGTTCTGGACTTTCTCCCCATGCAGCCGGACAATCCTCCTGGGTATAAGCACCCAGGTTGTTCCCTGGTGCCCCCTTTTTCCTTCAGCCCAGCTGCAGGCCTGGGGGAAGAGGGACCCCTGTAGCCTCCAGGTCGACCCTGGGTTGCATTTTGCAGTGTGGCCAGCAGGGGGCAGCATGGCCCCACAGCTGGTTGCACTGAGGCTGCAGGCTAAGGAGGCCACTAGGCAGGCAGGGTGAAGGAGCAGGGCTGTGCAGGGCAGCCCTGGTTTCTCCCCTATGCCCATGCCCCACCCTATGGGTTTAGGAACTGAATGTCTGCGGGCCCCTGGGGCTGAGCCAGGCTCCTGCTCTTAGTTCCTGCAGGGGCTCTCCACATCCCTTCTCATGGTCTTTAGTAAACAGGAGGACAAGGACAGGAGGGAGAGGACAGGGAGAAGGTGGGGCTGCTGTGGAAGCCTCTGCCATGACCACAGACCTCAGGCAAGCTGTTTCCCTGGCAACTCTGCTACCTGTCCTCCCTGGACCCCAGCACAGTCCCAGGAGTCACCCCTGCCCTCGACAGTGAACAAGCGCACTCTTGGTGACCTTGAACGTGAAGCCTGGTGAGGCTTTGGAGGAGAGGCCCACCGTGCCAGAGCCCCTGGTGTGGCTGAGTCTCTGCTTCCTGTGCGGTCTCAGCCTCTCCCTCTCTCTGAGGGGCTGGGAGTCGGGACAGCGCCTGTGGAGCTCTGGCACTGCCAGTTGGGCCACATCAAGCAGGGACCCAGACAAAGGTCAAGGGCACTGAAGAGGGAGCTGGCACCACAGAGAGTGCGCTTCCCAGGCGCAGCCTTGGCCGTGATGCTTGTGGACAGCTGCAGGGGCTGTTTGTTGCCCTCATGTCCTTCTGATGCTGCAGGTAGCAGATGGGGGCAGAGAGAACAGGTGGGCTCTGAGCAGGAGTGAATGAAGGTGGGGCTGACCCTGGCTGTGGTGGTGACGCCCTGGGGTGGCTGAAAGGGAGGTCCCCAGTGGAGTTTGGGGACAGGAAGGTGAAAGCCAAGCCCAACTGCCAGCAGCCAGAGTTGTACCAAGTTCAGGATTCACCATTGCAAACGGGGCCCCGCACCACGGGTGGGAGAACTGAGCTGAACAGTGCAGGGTGGGTGGGGTAGGGTAGGTGGGAGTTGGGCTCTCATCTGGGGCTAGCACATGGACCCCAGGCTCCACAGTCCCCCGCCCTGTCAATTCCCTGATGGGCCAACAGGTGGCGGCCAGACTCCTCCTCCTCCTCCTCCTGAGGTCCTGGGATGGGGTAGCTCCAGCTTAGAGCCCAGGCACTCCTGTAGGAACCCAGGGCCAGAGATGGAGGCTGTGACAATGACCCGGTCAGCAAGGCCCTCTCCTCCAACCTCCTCCCCCCCTCTCCTGGGGAGCAGTGCTAGGTGCACAGCCTGGACAGCCAAACCTCCTAAACGCCCCAAGGTGTCCTGGCTGGTCAGGCCGCGCCGCTCCACACTCTGGGCCATGGGAGCCCTGAAGGGGGCGGGGAGGGCACTGGGGCTGCTGGATGGGAGCGTACCCTGTCCCCTGCCCCGGCCTCAGACCTTCCTCCTCTGATGTGGGCACCAGGCCTAGTGTCACCCCACTCCTCCCAGCGCCAGGGGCACAGGCATGAGATCACTGGGCCTGCTGGGGATGGGGCGCTGGAGCTCAGGGACTGCCTGACAACTGCTCTCCGAGGGGCTGGGAATGGCTGCCAGCCAGCATCACCTTCCAGAATAGCAAGCCAAGGCCTCGGAGACGGGGCCTCGGTCCCAGACCTGGCATCGGCCGAGTGTCTGAAGCCCGCACCACCAGGGCCCCACCACTCTGGAGGTCTGGGGTGGGCTGTGCTGTGACAGCGGTTGCAGGGCCAGGACCTCAGCTCCTCGTCACTCACTC